ACCCCCCCCCCAAAACGACGCTCGGTCCCCCCCCGCCCGCACGAGGGAGGGGCGGGTCCTACCCCGACAAAGCCTTACCTTCCTGCCACTTCCGGTCTCCATCTTTTCCAGCTACTCTGCTCACTCGACCCTCCCCGCGCGACCACATGCGCCTATCCAATGAGAAAAAGCTTTACATTGCTTAGTAACGTAGCCATACCCACACGCGGCATTCTCGCGTTGAAAAGGATGTGCTTCCGGCGGAAGCACAAGCTGCGGAAACGCGGAGCGAGTGGTCGGTCTGGGGTTATCGGGCGCCAAGGAGTGTGCCGGGGACGCCACCAGTGCTGGCCACTAGCTAGTTGACGCTAATATCTTGGATTCGCTTTTTCGACCTCGTTAGTAGTTTCCGGCGAGGAAGGAGTGTGAGGTGCAATCAGGCAAGAACCCCGTTCTGTGTGGCTGGACTCGCTGCTGAATCAGCAGGTGGAGAGTCGCGCTTCCCCTGGGTTCGGGACAGCAAGACTGACTTTCCCGCCCTGCGTGGAAGCTGCGGAAACCAATGCTAAGCGCGCTTCTTTTTTCTCGTGAACCGTAGCCAGATACCGCGTGTGCTTCCTTGGCTCTGAGCGTACGGAATAGTATTTTAGGCAACTACTCTTGAAGTGCTGTTGGATCAAAGTTAGGGTTTATTTTTAGGCTGAATTTGAGATTCCCCCTTTGTATCCCCGCATCTGCTTCAGTAGCGGTGGGTGGACCTAGTAAGTTGCAGCTGGAGTTTCTGGGAGTTGCTTTTAAGCCACCTGTATAGATATCCCTTTGATTCCCGTAGATTTTTGCAGCGGGCAGAATTTGTGAGACCATGACAATTCAGGGCTACGGGTTATGTATTCCAATTTTCTGCGCTATTGAGATACAATTAATGGGGGTTTATTCAAACAATAGAATCCCTCGACTTTTCTCTGACTTTAGATTGTGCATTAATAGTACAACGTGAAAAGAGGATCCTAATCTAACACATTAGAAGTGTAAAATTAAAAAATAAATGCCTCTGCCCCTTATAATTAATCCAGAATTGAGCAAACTATCACTGCATATTTAAATAGGATAACAAATGGATGAGCTTCAGTATTCAACAACAGATTTTAGAGGAAGGTAGGGAAACATTTTGTCTGTAAATAGTTGTATTATTACAAAACATGAGCATTCTTCACTTTAAATAAACAGAACTGTCTGAAAGAGTGACTCCTCATGATCACACTCTTCATTATCAATTTTAATGTGTGGATCAAAACTATTTATAGAATGAGTCTTGCTTTGATTATAGAATATATGTAAATATGCCAGCAAAAATTAAAAGCATGCAATATTGGCATGCAATATTCCACTGAATTATCTAACTGAAAAAATATTACAATTGTTAGTCATTTGCTTCTGTGTTGTACTGATGAACAACCCAATACAATTCAAGTATTCTCTTGAGTAATTACTGCAACTGAAAAGTGGGAGAAGTAGAGTATTGTGCAAAAGTTTTAGGCAGGTGTGAAGAAATGCTGTAAAGTAAGAAT